TTAGGAGCCTGGGGAGCCGGCGTTGGCATCCTTGTCGTGGCGTGCAGGCAGCCGGGATGCACGGCCCCAGCTAACTGGGTTTTCTCTGATGAGCCAGCCGCTGCACTGGCCTCTCCCCGCAGGGCTGTTCCGTTCCCGGGCCACCCCCGGGGATGGAAACCCTCCCTGAGCTGACGTCCCCTTGCCATTTAAAGCCCTGGAAATGCAGTTAAAGGGATAACTGATTAAGGGACTTGTCAGAAAGGTCAGCTGCTGAGAGGTAACTGGAGTAATTAAGGTTTTAATGGGCACCAATTATATAATGGGACAGGCTGGGGCAGGGGGAGGTGGCACATAGCAGCTCCGAATGTGGAGCTGGGCCCACTGGCACCCCAGGCCCAAGTTGTCCCCTTGCAATCTGGTGTCAGCAGTCAGGTCCCCAAAATGCCAGGCAGGGGCTTTTCCCACCCATCTCCCTGACAGCACCCACTGGGCCCTGCACCTCCTCCCCACCCACTGCTGAGATTCCAGCAGCCAGGGAGTGCCCAGCTTTGGTGCCCACCTGCATCCCCTGCAAATAAACATGCCCCAGCTGCCCTCACCCAGGACCCAAGCTGCAGCCCTCAGGAACCGCACTGTCCCAGCAGGGCCCAGCTTCCCCCAATTTTGTGCCAGGAGCCAAACCCAAGCCAACAGTAACTCCCAGCCCTCTGCCTGTGATGGGTCCCTGGAAGCCTGGCCCTGCTGGGCTGTTGCAACCTCAGCCCTTTGCCAAGCATCCAGTTTTGCTGGCTGGGCTGAAGCCACACCCCAAGTGCCCCAAACCCTACTGAGGACCATTGCGTACACCCTGTTTTGGCATCTGATTTGGAGCAGGCATGTTCCTGCTCCCAGCACCTTCCCCAGGGAGCCTGCTGATGGCAGGGGCTGGAGCTGCAGCATCATTCATGCCACCCCATGGCAGCACCCACCTCCACCCCTCGCTCCCATCTGCTCGCTCACACACACCATCCAACTCCAGGCCCATGCACAGCAGCAGGCCTGGAGCAGGCTGGTCTGTTATTCAGCACAGGCAAACATCCCAACCCCGAGGAAGTCCCAAGGTGGGTGCCTGTCCCACAGCCTACAAGGATCCTGCCACATGGGATACAGAGCCAAAGGCGGCTGTAGAAATTTGCTTTTCCTTGTCAAGCCTCACTTTCACAAGCCTAGGGAGGGTACCAAGCCACTTTTTCTTTGAGTATGAGCACCACGCGGCAGCCAAAACACACAGGAGATGTCAGCTGGAGGCTGGTTCATGCTCAGTGACAGTTTCAGCCTACTGCAGGCTCTGCCACAGGGGTGCTAGATGCAGCAGGTAACACTCAGACCACAGTGTTTCTAAAGAAATTAAGGGATCTAAGACCTTTGTGTTTGTCCACAGCTGCAGGCAGGAACATGACCTGTGATCTTGTGAAGGTACCTGTTGCTATTGAATTAACAAGGGGTCGGTGACAGTATGTGGTAGCTATCAGAGGATCACACATGCCAGCCCAGACTGCAGCTTATTAATCAGCTCTAGGGACTGTCCCAGCTCCCAAGTACCCAACGTGCAGGACCTTGGAATCAGACAGTAGGCTGATTAATGCAAGGAAGGAGCAAAGCGATTCCCATCCCCTCAGGTTAGAGAGAAGAGCGGGAAGCACAGCTCGGTGCATTCCCCCCAGAAAAACCATCTGCAGACCCTGCGTTATGCACAGAACAAATTCATAACGGGTAAGTCCAGAAACGAGAGCCGTGGGGCAGGATGAGGGCCCTAGAGCATGCAAAAACTCCCTGGGAGTTACGAGCAAGCCTGCAAAAGGGGTCCTCATGGATCTGGCTGGGAATGGGGCAGGAACAGGCCTAAAGCTTCTGCCTTCCAACCCATTGATAGTATGAACCCCAGAATGAGAAACACACATTCTCTAACAAGGGAGTAAGTACAGGGTTTCTGCTGTTTTTCAGTGCTCTTACAGCAAGGATAGGAAGTAAAAGGTATCGTTGCTGAGCCAGGACCAGTACTACCATAGACCATGGAGCCACAGTAAAGCTAGTGCAGACCCTTCCCAGCAGTACAGCTCAGTCTTCAATTTTAAACCAGCCCCAGCTCGTTAGCCTAGTTCACAGCTTCAGCCCTGAAAGGCACCGAGGCAGCAGGAGCAGAGAAGCTGCATTTAATGCCCTCTTTGATAAGATTGGGGCATTGGATTGGACTAGAGCCACTGGCCATTCAGCTCAGCCTGGAAAGGCAGGGGAGAACAGCCCTGCCCTTGTCCAAATGGGCTAGCCACACACTTCCCTGCCGTATTCGCGTTTGTCCTACTTTCATGCTGTTGGAGGGGAAGGAGGGAAGAGAGACATAAACTTTAAGATGATTTATTCACACAAACTTATATCCCGGCCCCCACCTCTCTCCCCCAAACAAAACACACTGACCATGACGTTTATGGAATGGCTTGGCTTCAGCTTTTAACAAAATCCTCCACAGAAAAGTGAGAGCATAACAAAGCACACAAGGACAATTCCACACGCAAGCAGCCAGGCCAGGAAGAGAGCTCACAACATGTCTCCAGGGCACAGTTTATAAATACACCCTTCTCATGTGGCATTCAAAGAAAGCCAGCCAGGTTACATCCAAATGGCATGAAGACAAGAGCACAACCTCATTCTCCAGCATTAGAAGTGGCAGGATTGAAACGTGAGCTACAGCTAGCAGTGCCACCACAGACACCCCTCCAGCCTCCTCTGGGAGATCCCCAGGATGGGAGAACTGTCCCACCATCTGCACAAGGGCATGTTACTAGCAGAGCTGCCTTCCACACCTGTCCCTGCACACGATTCCCTTTGGTTTGGATACAGCCATTATCTCAGTGTCTTGAGATCTCTTTGGAAAGGTCAGGAGGAAGAAAAGAGGTGTGACAACAGCCAAGGGCCTGCTCCTTACCGGTCCTTGGGAAGAGACTAAAGGTGTGAGCTTTTTAGGCTCTTTGGACCATCAAAACCATCACACCTCAGGTAGGTAAGGAAACGTTCCCCAAGACTAGAGATATTGCTCTGAACACTCACTTGACCCTATATAAGCAGAGTACCATTGCAGCATTAAGGGAGGCCTACAAAAAGGCTCTTTTCCTTTTAAATAAGCAGCCCCAGCTGTGTGAAGTTAATCTGAATGCCCCTTTTATTGAATGCTGTGATAGTGCAGTGGTAACATTGAACAGAGTAAGACTGCTTAAACAAAAGCTGGAAGAGCAAGAAGTTTAAAAAAAAAGTTAAACCAGTTAAACAGCATCAGTTACCCCAGAGCAGAGACGCACAGGGGTTTTAATGTAGTGTTAAAAGTTAACTCAAGCACATCTCTTCCATGTGTCTAACACTCAAAAAACATGCCTTATTCTTAAGAGTCTGAGTGAAAATAAACAGGTAGTCCGTCAGATGAGCACACGCCACACATCAGGTGATCAGGAAAGAACCAACACTGATTTAGAAAAGTCAAGGAGTTGATACTGAACCCTACACTGCCAGGCTCCCACGCACGGCCTGGGCACGAGGTGCCTCTAGGCTAACACACCACACAGCTGTATGTAAAGAGCTCCTATGCCAGTTCATAAACATCTTCCATTTACTATTTGGTGATTACATGTGTGTATATATAGTTCTCTAGGCAACACATTTCAATGAGATAGTCAACTCTGAGGATACACAGGCCAATCTAACAATGAGAAATGCAGTTTCAGTCCAACAGAAGCTTGTTTTCCCTTTCCTCAAGAAAGGAGATTTAACCCTCTCTCCCCTCAAAAGCATTTTCAGATCGAACTGAAGTCCCCTGCTGCAGCTATTCTTCATCAGAGGAAGAGTTCTGATCCAGGGGGTACACCATGAACATCACGTCCGGTCGCGATGGGACAGAGGGGTGACCAGGCCTCACGATTTCAAAGCCCAAAAAGCTGAATGTCTTCAGGAGCGGAGCTACCAAAGAGAAGGAAATGGTTACCACCAGGAACGTTGATCTTTACCCTAAAAGTCATTGGCATCAAAGTACAAGGGCATTAAACATGCCTGTGAGCTAGCAGCACATCCAGAACTTCCTACACAAAAAGAAACTATTTAACACAACAGTCCTCTTCAGTAAGAGATCTTGTCTCTTCCTGTATTCAATGCAGTTGCTCCTAGGTGTAAAGGAAATTTTAAGCCTCTACAGAGGACTAGATTGCTCTGCATTTATTCTGCGACATCTGTTCCATCCCCTCTGAGTAAGGGCTACACTTGTCATCTACTTGCACCAGCTGCCCAACTGCACTTAGCCAGGATGCCTGTAGCCACCTCACAGCATATCAAATGCTGTTTCGTTTCATACTCAGCGGCCCGCCCCCAGCACCCTTTGAGCCCAGAAGCAGCAAACAAGGAATCAACTTATGCAGGGACTGGAAAGAGCTTTCCTGTCTTTGCAAGAAGGACCTGGAGATCAGACTGGAAACCTCAGACATCTCAGCACAGCTCGGTGCATCCCCCCAGAAAAACCATCTGCAGACCCTGCGTTTTGCACAGAACAAATTCATAACGGGGTAAGTCCAGAAGCTCCACCTCATCTGACTGAGACAAGATATATTACAGATTAACTGCATGCACGTCCCCTTGTTGCTAAGGGATCGCATCCCTGTGACCTGTGTAAGTTACCCTGCTACAATATCTAATCTCTGCAGCACCCACTGATGATTAATTTCAAACTACTGAACAGTCATGCAGATGAGGTCCTATATACTTTCAGGGTAACAGTGAATTTTAACTGTATAGACAAGTACCCAGAATATGGAACACTCCAGAACTCATACAAACAAGGCAGTTTCATTATCAATACATGCCCTTTTGTAAAAGGGCAGTATCAGATTCTTGGACATCTTCTGTAAACAGCCATTATGGAGGTCACCTGTGCAACTAGCACTGGTGATATACTTTTCCTCCATTTGAAGATGATTCTTGATGGATGATACATGGAATGGTATCTTCCCAGGTTCAGTGCAATTTAGCTCTAGCAGCACTGCTCCATCTGAGAAAAGACAGTGCAGCTTGTGAAGTGGCAGAGTAAAATTAGAATTAAGAAGAGGTTTGAATTACTCCTACCATGGCAATTGCTTGGTTACTAGCCTGCATCTAGTAAAATTTAAAATGACGCATCCATAGCTTGGTACCTTGCCACAAATCTCCTCAAACTTCCGTGCTCTAATCACTCATCCAATACATCTATCTTTAGATACTAAGGCAGCCCCCTTAAGCCATAAGCATTTATAGTCAGAGTCAGGATTACCTGTAGGTCTAGGAAGGGCAAAAGTGCTGGAGGATCTTTAAAAAGCAGATAAGCATCAGAGCAACAAGCTGAAAGTGTTTAGTTCTCACGTCATAACCTGTTCCTAGTCTCTCCTTCCAAATCACATAAGCCTGATGCCAGAAGGATACCTTCACTCCTTATCCAAGAAGGAATATTAACTGATTTCTGGCCAAGAAAATATCCCAAATTACTCAAGAGCAGCTTTCCCCATGACAACTCTAGTAACAACTTAACTGCAGGACAGCAAAGCAAGCCCAGCTGGAGAAAATGAATATTCCCTTTCCCTTAGTCCCAAGAAAGGACTTAGGCAGATAAGTTATTTCTTCTATGAGAAACATTTTCCAATGTGTAAGAAAAACATTGGAATTATGCATGCCACACAATTACCACAATAGGAAGCTTACGGAAGCCCTGCCTTGGGATTACCAGATTTTTGTACAGATTTAGTAGTGTCATTTTAGTTCTAGGGAGAAAATCTCCCAGTGGGAGTTCTCACCTCTATCTTCTCTGCTTTTTCTGAAGCAAATAAAGACGTAGTTTACTTTCATTTTTTCTTCAGCAAATTCCAACAGTGCTGATAACCTGCCAAGGAGGAAGACAAAAGAACATCAGCTATAGGAAGTCCTGTCCTGAGGAAGCCACTGGGCACTATCAACTGTTTGGATGTTTTAAGACAGAAAGATCACTTGTTTACAGACACAAACCCCATGTTACAGAAACAATGGACGCTGAAACAATGGACTTCCTGCTTCACTATCCAGCCCTGCGAAACTAAGCTATCCTCACACAAAGTCACAGAGCAAGTGCGTGTCCTTGGTTGTCTGCATGCCAGCATACACAAACATCCATCCCTCTTGAGCCAGCGATTTCGTACAGAAGTCTTCATACGTGAGAAGCTGAAGACTGCAACTCTTCTGGAGCTAGACTACACCCCTTCCACCAGCAACAAACACCAAGGGATCTGTAAGCTTTGTACTTTATGAAAAAGAAGGCTAGTGCAAGGCAGAAGAGAAGAGAAAAACATCACTGAAGGAGCACGTGCACAGGCAGAGCTGTTTGGGGACACATCATCTGCATGGCACAGCTAAAAACGACGCTGTGAATCCAAGCTCCCTTTCCAGCAAAAGGATTTCTGCCACCTCTTGATGGAAGCAGAGCTGCATTAGCCTCTGTCCAAGCCCTCAGAATTAGCATGGCGTAGCTGTATCTGTCACTGCTGACCTGTGCATTTAGGATGCACACTGCTACAGCAGTGACAAACGGGACTTCAATCGAGATCTAATTAAACAGCAGTCAGTGAGACTGGAGCGCACCAAGGGAGATTAAATTTGCAATGATTTTGTTAATATGATAATGAACTATTTTAATTATAGCCTCTACTAGACTGTTTTACCTAGCTAAAAATAATCTTACGAAATTATGCTTTAAGCCATGATGACATGGGTGGCAAATACCCTCACAGGACAATCTGCTCCTATGAAAGCAGGCACTCGGACAGCTAGAGGACAGCAGAAAGAATACAACACGTTTATGGATTCAGACCAAACGAGACAAGGGTGAGACAGCAG